GATCTCAGCACTGAACAGAAGTGGCTGCTAACTAACAACAGAGAAGGGATGTGACCCGCCTCTGGGTGAGAAATGTGACACCACTATGAATAGTTATCTGCCCCCCGCCCCCCCCCCGAAAAAAACCCTCAAAACTGCAACTCATTAAGCCTCTATGATCAACTGCACAGTGGCAGGAAATACGGAAGACTGAGCGAAACACTGATCCCTACCACAGGAATGCAATCGGCAAAATGCCAGTCGAGAAAGCTACAGGACAAAGGATCCAATTTCCACAAGAAACAATCTCCAAAGGTGGGGAGATGGTTGGGGGGAATATCTTTACATTAAAGAAGACCCAAAAGACATATTTAATAAAAACAAAAACAGGCAAAGTTATACTATAATATTTAGGAACAAACACTGGCGCTAAAACTCCAAAGGGGGTAGAGAAGTGATTACCGTAAAAATCAGGACAGTGGTTGCTCTGAGGGTGAGGCAATAGGAGGGTTCCTGGTGTAGCTACTGGCAAGGTTCTCTTTCTTTCCATGTTTGGTTCTTACAAGGGCATTTGCCTTATAATCATTTATTAAATTACATATTTGTTATACACTATTTTCTGTAATTGTCTTGCTTTAACTATAAAAAATTTTAAATGGCTATTTTGCCTATTTCTTAGAGTGAAAGGAAGTTATGTAAACATGCAGCCTCATGAGAGCAGAGCTTACCTGTCTTCTTCACTGCTGTACCCCCAGGGGCTAGCGCGGCTCTTGGCACATGGTAGGGACAAATAGATCTTTACTGAATGAATGACTAAATGAGACTATAGGATCTAACTCACACCTAAGGTAATATTCTGATTACTGTTCTAAACTTCAGCAAGGGCATTCATTCCCAAGGGGTGGAAAAGGCACTGTGTGCTGCAGACGTCCTTCTGCCTGCTGCCGGGGCTGCACTGACCGTGGGATTCTCAGGGGCATCACGCTGGCCGTCGGCAGAGCGCTGGCATCCAATGATGAATGTCGTACTGACGGCACATGTGTCAGCAGCCGGGCTCTGTGCACTACTGTCACAGGTGGAGCTGCAGGAGTTTAAGGCTCCAATAGCTGCTCTAAGTGGCGGGGCTCCAGGGCAGTAATCTGGCTCCAGGAAGCTGCAAGGGGGCCTGTTCTGAAGTCATTTTGCAGAGCAATATATGGCTTTTACTTACATTACATCTTCATAAACTTGGGGGAGAATTTATGGATATTGTGTTATTTATTGCTGAATAACAGTATTAGCACAAACCTAACAGTTTAGAATGCACATTCATATTTCACAGTCCCTGTGGGTCAGGAGTCTAGAAACAACTTCACCGGGTTCTCTGCCAGGCTACAAAACAAGACAAGTCCAGCTTGGGCTCTCATCTGAAGGCTCAGCTGGGGAAGGCCTGAGCCAATGGGTCATGGGAACCGAATTGTACTAACCACCATACAAGTCTGGAAGTAGAACCTTTCCAGTCCTGGCTGATGCCTTGATGGCAGCCTAGCAGAGGTCCCAGGCTGCTGACCCACGGGAAACTGTAGGGTAATACATGGGTGCTGTTTAAGCTGCTAAATTTGTGGTAACATGGTTACTCAGAAACAAATAACTAATACAGATATCATGGGGAGGGAATTAAAGCCACCCTTCCCTCAAAAAACACCTTATTAGTAATCTCAGAGCAACCCTGAAAAGTATGTTTTATACATAAAGCGACTGAGACTCAAAGAGTTTAAGGAACTTTAGATTAGTGGTAAGCAGGATTCAGTTTCAGCTCTCGGTTCCATCCGAAGCCCATGCTCTTTTTACCTCTTTACAAAGCTTTAAGTGAAGCTTAAAAATCACAATTGCTTTGTCCACATGTCAACTTTAAACAGCAGAGTAAAAAGAGTCAATGTGCATCTATGCTCCCCAATCACCCTGCCTTTTGTACACTAAGTCAGCGATGCTGTTGCAGGGGACACGAGCCAACCGTGACCGGGCTGCAAACACAGTGACGGCCTCCTGGCATGCTCTGGGTCTGGAAGGTTGCCAGCAGAGAGAAGGGAACCAAGGTGCCCATGTGACAATAAGTCACACAACAGCTGACCTGGACTGACTTTGGTAGCTGCTGTGAGGCCAAGGCCATGGACTGCCCCACTGTGGGAGGTCTTTCCACCAGCAGAGAGGGAGTAGCTGCACCTTCCTCCAAAGTGAGCTGTTTCCCAGGCAGACAAGGTGCCAGGACATTCATGGGCAGTCGGGGTGAGGAACAAGAGCTCCCCACCCACTGCAAGGGTAGGCATGCTTTGCAGAAACCCTGGAGTTGAACTTGGCTGGTGGTTCTTTCCCACCAGAACTGAACAAAGTGACTTGAGATAACAAAATAGGCAGAGCATCAAGCTCCAGCCTCTTGGAGAAGGCAGGAGAGCTAAAACATGAAGCCAAAACCTGTTGAAATTCTGCTAAGGCTGCAGAACAGTCCTTGGCATGCAAACCAACAGTTGCCCGATCGTTTTTCCCACTCCAGCAGCAAAAGCTCCAGCCCCACCACACTGGGCGCTTGGGAAAACAATAGGTTCAAAATTCTAGGTGTTCAGTAGTAACAGAAGAGCAGAGGCTGTGAAGACCTAGACGAGTCTGGGGCAGCCATGACCACATTGTCTTCAAACTCAGTTAACAACTACTTTTTTTTTTTTTTAATTTTATTATTGTTTAAAATAATACAGATGTCCCTTTTTCTCCCCAATGACCCGTTCCACCCCGTTCCTTCCCCCTCCCCAGTCCCTCTCCCCACCATTGTCCATGTCCTTGGGTTGTGCGTATATGCACATAAATTCTTTGGTTACTCTCTCCCCCTCCACCCACCCACCTTCCTCCATCCCTCTGACATTCATCAGTCTCAACTATGCTTCCATGTCATTGAATCTATTCTATTCCTCAGTTTATTAAGTTCTTTAGGTTCCACGTATAAGCGAGATCATGTGATGTTTGTCTTTCTCTGCCTGGCTTATTTCACTTAGCATAATATTCTCCAGGTCCATCCATACTGTCCCAAAGGGTACGAGATTCTTCTTCTTTACAGCTGCGTAGTATTCCATGGTGTAAATGTCCCACAGCTTTTTTATCCACTCATCTACTGATGGGCACTTGGGCTGTTTCCAGATCTTAGCTATTGTAAACTGTGCTGCTATGAACATCGGGGTACATATATCCTTTCTGATGAATGTTTCAGGATTCTTAGGATACATTCCTAGGAGTGGAATCACTGGGTCAAACGGCAGCTCCATTTTTAATTTTTTGAGGAAACTCCATACTGTTTTCCATAGTGGCTGCACCAGTCTGCATTCCCACCAGCAGTGTACCAGGGTTCCCCTTTCCCCACACCCTCGCCAGCACATGTCGTTTGTTGATTTGTTGATGGAGCCATTCTGACAGGTGTGAAGTGATACCTCATTGTGGTTTTAATTTGCATCTCTCTGATGATTAGCGACGTCGAGCATTTTCTCATGTGTCTCTTGGCCATCCGTATGTCCTCTTTGGAGAAGTATCTATTTAAGTCCTTTGCCCATTTCTTAATTGGGTTGTTTGTCTTCCTCTTGCTGAGTGCTATGAGTTCTTTGTACACTTTGGAAATTAGCCCCTTATCAGATGCATCCTTGGCAAATATGTTTTCCCAGATGTGGGGTTCCTTTGTATTTTGAGGCTGTTTTCTTTTGCTGTGCAGAAGCTTTTTAGTTTGATGTCGTCCCATATGTTTATTTTTTCTTTTGTTTCTCTTGCCCTAGGAGATGTATCAGTGAAAGGTCCACTACGTGGGATGTCTGTGACTTTACTGCCTATGTTTTCTTCCAGGAATTTTATGGTTTCGTGACTTACATTTAAGTCTTTTATCCATTTTGAGTTTATTTTTGTGTGTGGTGAAAGTTGGTGGTCTAGTTTCATGCTTTTGCGTGTATCTGTCCAATTTTCCCAGCACCACTTATTGAAGAGACTGTCCTTCCTCCAACAACTACTTTTGAGACCTGTTCAGTATTTAGCCCTGTGTAAAGCTGGGGGGCACAAGGAGATTGCCATCTGGAGAAACAAAAAAGGAATTACAGTCTCTTAGAAATGTCCTAAAGGAGCTGTGACCAAGGGCACAGGAGCAGAGAGGAAAGGGAGTCTCTAAATCAACCTGGGAGATTCAAGAAACGCTTCACCAGTGGCCATGAGAGCTGAGGGGCCTCTAGAAGGATGAGAGTCTGCAAGAGGCACAGGCAGGGGAAGGCGGCCGGTGAAGAGAATAACATGACCAAAGACAGGGGGCGCTGGAGAGCACGGCAGGAAAAATCTGTTTCCCTGAAGCCCTCAGAAGGAAACCCACGCTGCCAACGCCGCGATCTTAGCTTCTGACCTCCAGAAACGTAAAACAATGAATCTGTGTTGTTTAAGCCACTGGTTTGTGGTCATTTGTTACAGCAGATATAAGAAACTAATACAGTGTCCAATGACCCACTTTCCTCCCTGATTGCTCATGTTGCAGTAATTTGCTGATGACTCCATTTGTTATTAGTATAATACTTTTTCAACCCAAGATGCACTAAACACAAATAACATAAAAAGTGATATTTTGACATTACCTTTTCAAGTAAAGACAAATTTCTCCACACAAGTTTCTAGACAGAGAATATTATACAGAACAAATTTGAATTGCAAGACACCTTCGAGAACATATCCCAAGCAGGAGGGATGGAGAGGGAGTGGCTCCGGCAACCCTTCCGTGTGTTCGGCAACAGCATCGGTTTTGCATCTTTCAAAGCACTCTGGTGTTTGGCCTTTATTTTGCCCTTAAGCAATCTTTCTGCGTTAAATCTTTATTTTAACTGCAATGTTAGCGACAGGTCCTCCTGAGCCCCAGGAAGGTTAAAAAAAAATGGTTCGAAAGAACGTACCTTCCAAAAAATGGCTTTGTCCTGCCCATGCCTCATCCACCATCATCTACTGTCACCACCCAATATTTAGCTGCTCCTTTAGGAAAAAGAATGACTTTTTCTACATTGCATTTTAAGTATAAACTGCATTTATTTACTTTCAAGTTGGTATTGGTTATATAAACTTGCTTTCTTTATTCAACTCAAGCAGTTGAGCGAAGGGCGGGTCCATGTGGGCAGGCCTAGGGGTCCGAGTTGCTACAAGCTCCCCACAGAATCATCCGATGAAAGTCAGTGTTCGAGAACCGCGGCCTCAGGGAATAGTAGGACGGTGTTTACCCGGGTGGTAGGTCCTCTACCACACTTGCCAGCCCTTCTCCTTCCCACGGCTAGCGTTTGCAAGGGAAAGATGAATCAATATAATTTTCACAAACACAGTACAGCGGTGAGGGCAAAACTGGGATTTTTAAAAAATCACATAACCAAATTAAATGGTTTTTCTCGAGTATCCAGTTGCTCACTCCCTTCCAGGAAAGCCGTTGATTCCGAGCAAACTGCAAATGGGACAATTTCCGGATATTCAGATTGAAGACATTCATCAGAGGCACTCCTGAATGGCTGTCAAATTTTGGCAAACCTAGATCAGAGAAAGGAGAAGGGAAATAATTCATCCACATACACAGGAAGTGCGGCATCTAATCACTGCACACACGCACACGCGCGTGTGCACACGCGCTGACGAACTAGCTTGAATAACAACGAGGAAAGGGGGCTTCAACCTCGAGCAACTTTTTTTTTTTTTTTTTTTGCCTTACAAGTTCTCAGTTCTCCTTCTTTTTTTCTGACAGGCTACAGAGGTGTTTGCTCCTAATCCCAGCTCATTACGTAGTTAATTATCAGCTCATATTGTTTTCTTTCTCCACTCTCCTACAACAGAAGTGCCTATAGGCTAAAAAGTGGGTTTTCCCCATATTTCTACTCCCTAAGATTTATTCATTCATTCACCAAATCTATAAACATACCTTTCTGCATGTAAGTGTAGAGAGAACAGATGTTACCCATTTTGTTACCCTGAAGCCATAAATTGGCAAAATGCAGATTGCTGATGCTAACACATTATTGGCAGTGGGGTACCTGTGATGACCGTCATTTGAAAGGGACAGTCTGACCAAAGGTGAACAGTGTAGACAGTCTCCACACTCACAGACTTTAAGTTTAACAAAGTAGGCGGTTGAGTAAGGATTACGTTATGGTAAAAGGGATTGACTAGAGAAGCATAAAGTGCTCAAGAAGCGGCACCTAATCTAATGTATGTGGAGTGCGGGGCAGGTGGGAGGGCTCCTCCCTCTATGTCTGTGGCCCTGGGTCCATGTCTGTGGCCCTGGGTGCAGAGCCTGCCCTCCACCCCCTCAGATCCTCACGCGTCATCGCCGGGACAGACTAGCGAGTCGTTCTTGACTCCTGATGGTAATAACCATGTCTTTGGCTCATTAGTTTCTGGATATGTTTATATGTGAGGAAGAGTATTGCGAAATCTACACTATATAGGCTCAGAGCCCTTGGCTATAAAGTACTTTAAGAAATGATGCAGCAAATCTATTCAATTTCATGAATATTTATGGCGTGTGTACTATATTCAGGGCATTGAGGTGGATACAAACGTGAAGTCAGAAGTCCTTGTTTTCATAGGTCTTAAAGGCAAGAGTGTGTGTAGAGGATGCCTGGGGGGCAGGGAATAGGTAACAGTGGAGAAGGGATGACAGAAAAAGTTAGAGTAGGTACACAAATAATCGTAGAAGGGATCCTATTCCAGAAATGAGGCTGCAGATGAGTGTTTCAGGAGGTATCATTCTCCTCCTGATCCAATAACCTTTAGGAGACAACAAATCAGGAGCTCAGCACAGCGGGAGGTGCCCTCGAAGCAGTAGGTGACCGGGCACCTGCGGAGCTACTGGCTCTTCGGGAGCCTTCCCCGCCCACACTCCCCACCCCTCCTGGATGGAGAACCCTCCCTCCGGGTGTTCCCACAGCCTCTGTGCTAACTCTGTCCTTGAACTTCCCATATTACCTATTAAAAGGCAACTCCACTGTGCCCTTTCTAATTAGACTCTGAATTCTCAAGGCCCTGGCATCCGACCCTGCCACCTAGCAGCAGTGTCTTGGTAGAGAGACCATGAATGTCTGCTGAGCAGAGCTGGGCACCCAGTGTGGCAGAGAACCCGTAAATTCTCAATATTTGTAGGTTAAGTGATGCCACTTTAGGGTTTTACAAACCATCTGTCCAAGATGTTCATAGTTAATGTTCAAAGACTAACCTGGAGAGGCTGTTGACAATGGAGACCCCTCAGAAATTTGGACTCGGAAGGTCTGGCATCAGGTTGCATAAATCTGCTCTTTAAACCCACTCCCCACTTGATTCTAGAGAGGTGGTCGCCAGGCCCTGCTTTGAGAAGCTCTGCCCTGGTTACAGGGCTTCCTAACGACGTGACCCTCGTCTTTCGGATTACTTGTACATATTCATCTTAAAACCCCCAGAGAATGGATGTACCATCTGACAAACAATAATGTTTCACTCCTGAAAGCTGAGTTATGAAATGACTCCTTGGGTGAGAATCTTCTGTGTAGACATTATTGGTTCGGCCAGTCCTGACTAGGGCACCATCTCAGCCCACGAGGCCGAGCACATGGGCAGACCTGTGGTAAATGCCATGTGAGAGCAACCTGCGGCCAGAGGGAGGGGAGTGGGTATCTCAGAAGAGCTTTAAACAAATGTCATTCATTTACAAGGGCTAAAGAATAAGGATTTCTCAGGTGACCTCAGGATCCAATTTTCTAGCTATCAGATTAAACAAAACTTAGCTATATTAGTGCCTGCCTTCGGAAACCTGGAATGCCAGGAAACTAAGGGGGCAGCATCACTTTAAGTGTCAGTAAATCGATATTGGCTGGAGCTCTAAACAAAATAAATCTTCAATCAGCCCTGCTGTAATTGCAGAATTAACAAAGATTTCGTAAACAGGGCAACGCAGCGTGGAGAGCAAAGGCCAGCAGGCTAATTTGAATTACAGACCTCAGCCTGCAGCTCTGGGAGCCGGCCTCGGGCTGCCATGCTGACGTGAAGGTAATTAACACGATCCATCTTGCAACTGACACGCTTTGCAGGCTGCTTGAAATTCCGAGCCTCTCCCCCAGACCCCAGGCGCCCTCTGAGATATGCTGAACCGTGGCAGCCAGCACACAGGGGGATGGTTCGGTGCCTGAGAGATGGCAGGGACATCGCAGTTTGTAACTGGGATCATTCCGCGGGCAGTGTGCCAGTTATTTGGGAAACTATAAGAAAAAAGGCTTCTTACTCTGAGGTATTTTTAAAGTGCAGTCTATCAATCTATAAAAGCCCTTTAGAACTACTTAAAAATTTAAAATTCATATTACTTCCTAGGTCCTGCTGCCTTAAAAATTAATTCTATCTATTTGGCCTTAAGAATTTAGACACAGGACGATAATACTATTAGATTTCAGCGGCAACATCAGGTCTGGACAAACGGTCAGGACCTTTCCCGGATGCAGCTATTGCCATCATGACTCAGCAGAGTGTTCTCCGATTTCACGCCGAGCTCATCTCTGCCCAGTGACGACGACGAGGCAACACTTACCTGGCACCGGGGGTGGTTTTGAAGTAGCTGGCGAGGCTGAGAAACAGTAACTTGACAACATCTTGAATGAGAAAGAGAAAATATATGAAAATGACCAAAATTGGAATGAAATACAGGAATCAGAGCGGTCATTTGGGAAACGGTTACTTACAAGCAATAGTTATCATCAAGGAGCACGTGAAGATACCGGCCAGCACTCCTCCCAGAAGCCACCTGAAAGGACAGGACGGCGCAGGTCAGCAGGCTGATCGAGTCGCCAACACGGGAGGCCTTCTTTGAGACTGACATAGATGTGCGATGTTAAGATTTACTATAAAACTATAGTGCTAAAGAGAGTGGGTACTGACAAAAGGATAGAAATATAGATCAACGGAAGAGGAGACACGGCCCAGAAAAAGATCCACACAGGCCGCTAAATGATTTTTAACAGAGTTGCAAAAGCAATTCGATGGAGCAAGGATCGTCCTTTCAACCAGTGGTGTTGACTCAATTGTATATCCATGTGCAAGGAATGAGCCTGCGCAGGTGCATCACTCCTCAACACAAATGTAACTCAGACTGAGTCACAGACTGAAATAGAAACCACAAGAGTATGAAACTTCTAGAAAAACAAGAGAGAAATTCCGTATGCCTCCTGCTTCCCGACCTTGCCCCAAAGTGTTAAACATTTGGGGTTTTGCCAACCTGATGGGTGACTGTATCACAGGGTGGATTTTCTTAAAAGAATAATGTATTTATTGTTTCTATACTCAAACTATGAATTATTTAAAGAGATTACAAATAAATACAAAGGAGAAAGGAAAATATCATGAAATTCCCCATCACCCTGCAGCAGCCACGACGCCAATCTAATGAATATCCTTTCAGACACCTCTTTATACGCATTTTTAAGTTGAACATTTTCACTTTAAATTATTTAATTTAATTTTAAGCTATGTGTTGAAATTGAGCTTTAACCAAGGTTCACTAAAGCATGTAAAGTGCACAGGAAGTGCACTGGTTTGGAGTTTTTGGGCTTTTTTACATCAGCCTCTGTAATTGCTACCCAAGTCAAGATATAGAATATTTCCAGCACCCTATGAGGTTTCCTTTGTTGTCCCATCCCACTCTATCTGCCTGAACTAACCATCATTCTTACATCTACAGTAACTGACTCATTTTGCCTTTTCTTGGATTTTATACATATATTCAATCATACATTCTTGTATCTGTCATATTTTACTTACATAATATCTATGAGATTCATCTATGCTGTTGCCCATATGAATTGTTCTTCTTTAACCGATTATTTACTTAAGTAACCTTCTGAAGTTAGAATAATTTTAGATACACAGAGACATTGCAAAAAAATTGCATAGAAGTTTCCCACACACCCCTCATCCAGCTTCTCCAATCCAGCATCTTACAATACACAGCACATTTGTCATAATTAAAGAGCCAACATTGGTGCATCACTGTTGCTACATTCAGACTTCAGGGTTTCCCGTGATTTCTCCATGCGCTATCCAGGACACCACGGGACATTTGGTCATCATGTCTCCTCAGTGTCCTCTGGGCTGTGACAATTCCTCAGACTCTCCTTCGTTTCGATGACCTTGACAGTTCTGAGGACTGTCTGCAGGTAGATCACATGAAGAATGTCCTTCACTTTGGTTTTCCTCACGGTTAGACTGGGGTCTGGAACCACAGAGGTGAAGGGCCATTCTCATCACATCATATCGAGGGGTCATGCCGTCAACAGAACTTACCCCTGTTGATGTTGACCTTGATTATCTGAGGTCATGATTGCAAAGTTTCTCGGCTGTAAAGTTACCTTTCCTTCCTCTTGACATAGTCTACTCTTTGGAAGCAAGTTCTAAATGCTCAAGGGGTAGGGAGCGAAGTGCCCCTCTTAAGGGGGAAATATCTACAGAAATTAACCCAAGAGGCGTATTACATGAACAGTCCTGTGACATACAGGAAAGAGTTTCATGGTCAACTACGTTTAGGAAACGCCAAGTTAAATAAAGCCGAATGAGTTTCTTCAGGACATTGTTTTCACCATGGCTTGGTCATGCTATAGCACATTATGATCTCCCGATGTGGTGTATGAGGCAGGATTTTGCAAATTTATTTTTAACCACAGGACCTCTCCCCATTTTTGTTCTTTGATCTCCTTGTGATCTAAAAATTCTTCTCAAGCCTCATAATTATCTGAGCAGCTCATCTTAAAACAATGATTATCACTAGATCTAAATTAGTATCTCAAGGGATGGGATCCAGGCCTTTGTATTTAAAAACACAGCTCCCCTAAGTGACATGCAGTATTTGACCCTCCAGAGACGGGACTTGAGAGCAAGTAGTAGCATTTGAGAAGAGCCCAGGACTGTGCCATTCCTCCCTGTTTCACTAATTCAAAAGTGAGAGCCCCTGGCACCGGGGATACAGTAGAAAGAGACATGCAATGTCTCAGCTCTCAGGGAGTTCACATTCTTATAGGGAGAAATAACATTTATACAAGTGAACATATAATAGGTGCTCTAAAGAAAAGCGAGGCGTGTGTGATAGAGTGGTATGCTGTTTATACAGGGCTGTCAAGGGAGGCTTTCTGATGATGTGACATTGGCACAGATTCTGGAAGGAAGGAAGGTCATCCATTATGAGGCTTTCTGGAGAAGACTGTACTAGGCAGCAGCGTAAACAGCATGTGCAAAGGCCCTGAGGCATGGGCGGGCTTAGCACAGAAGGGACATGATCACTGGCCTGGAGACTTGGGCAAGAAAAGGACAGGAAGGGCATGCTTGACAGAGGGTAGAACAGAAACGTGCCCTTAATCAGGCAAGAGCATTATGTGCTCTGAGATGCTGAGTAGGCATCCCTGGACTAGATACTTTATGTTAGGATAAAAAATTCAACGAGAAAGGTGGAGTCCCAGCAGGATTCCAAGTGTCCTAGTGGGAACTTTAAGTGCCCTTGAATTCCAGGCAGAGGTACTTAGTCTGTTTTTGTAACAGAGAGTCAAGGAGGATTTCAACAAAGGATGATACACAGTAAATTTCTCCCAAGATACACTGGCTTTTGTATGCTTTGTGAGATGATGAGAGGAGGGAGGTGACAGATAAGGGAATACTTACCATGGATAGACAAATGAGCAAACCTCAACCACAGAGCTACCTAAAAATGCTTTGTGGAATAAGGCAAGTAAATTATCAATCGACTACAGCTCTATTAATTACGAAACGCCACTGCATGAAAATAAAATCGGAATTACCTTGCACATGCAGAAATGATCAGGCATGCAGCAAGCAGAACTGTTTGAAAGGCGATCTCTCCCAACAAACTGGCTTCTAATAGGAAAAATAGAAATAAACGAATTAGAAATCATTGCTGATTAAGTAATATTGGAACAGCAGAATTATACTAAAACTTCTCTTCTATGTACCAAGAAGAAAGTTTTCAGATGTATGTCATCCCAAAAACTGGTTAGAAGTAACAAGATAAGATTATCAAATGCTAGAAAAATTCTGCAAATAATCAGATTTTTTTTTCTCTCATTAAAAAAAATAAATGATAATGCTCCATAAACAGTTTGGGGCTTGCCTTTTACTTTAATGTTGGGGAAAGGGTTTGTAGAATTTATACTGTCAGAAATCTAACTTTGCAGAGTGCCTGATAACTCAGAGCTTTTGTGCACTGGTACATTTAATCAACACAACAAACCTAGGAGGTAGAAACTATTACTGTAAGTTCTGAAAATGAAACCAAGATGAGAGGAATGATGAAATTTGTCTAAAGTCACACAGCTATGAAGGGCCAGAGCCAAGATTAAAAAACCCATCTAGGAGGAACATGTTTTGTCTGAAATGGGGTAGGGAAAGAATTGCAACTTTGTATACTGGGAGTCTCTAAAGGGCAAACAAGGAGCATATATGATGAGCTCTTTGGCCTTGCAAAACTCTTTGCTATCAATAAAATAGTGCTGCTGAACCACAGTGGGAATGACTGCAAATTCTCCAGCAGTGAAAAACCTGAGTTAAACCAATCAGAACCCTGATTGTATTCTAATCACCTAAAAGAAATCAGAGCCGGTTTGAGGATTACCAGGTAAAGATGTAAAGGAAAGTATAAACAGACCCCAACTTATTTGCCAAATGCTTCAAAAGCCCAATTTTGCAACAGTTATTTAAAAGTTAGAATGACTTTGTGCTATGAATGCGATTATTTTTGCTATTTATGCTATGAATGAAGACCCACTTTGTCCATCGTGTGGGCGGAACGCTGGAGATGGGCAACGCAGAATGCGGCAGCTGCTGCTGATGGCGCTGCAAATGTACAGTAGTTCATGTACGCTGTGAATTAAATAAGTTATTGTGGGTTCAATTGAACACTCAATCATCTTTCTGAAGTGTGTTTCTATTCTTAGCCTCCTCCGATTTCCTGTGGAATTTGGAAAACATTTCTTCACTGCAAAGATCACTGGGCTTGAATATTGAAGAATGAATGACTGGGTTTAAATTCAAGTTCTGCAAAGGTATGAGTTATGTGATTCTGGACAAGGTGTTCATTGATTCATCCCATCAGTAGCCATTTACGTGGTACCTATTTTCGCTTACCTGAAGTGTAACCTCCTTCAAGAAGTCTTCCATGATTCCTTCAATTCCTCCTTGGTCCATAGCCAAGATACATGGTTCCTACATATCACCACCAGTGCTCTTTCCACAATGAGTTGAAATTGCTGTTTTGTTTCTCTATATTTCCCCATTAGACTCCAGGCTCACCGAGAATAGTTGACATCTATTTGCTGTTCGTTGGTGGCAGTGCCCATAATTTCCTTAGGGAACCGCCCCTTCCCTTCCCTTTGTTCATGGCTCGGGTGAGACACTGAGTTCTCTCTGAGCATTTGGCCACTCCACACCATTTGGAGCTTCACATACTTATTGACAGTGATTGGTTTTGTCATGTAAGTGAGACCCTTCCAGAACCAATGAAACTGGGCCTCATGACATAATTCCAGACGCTCTCATCTTTTTCTGCTGAGCTGGAATCTGGGGAGTTGTAGGCACAGAGTCGATAAGAGCCACCATAGGTCAATAGCCTTCTAAAGAGTAAAGCTGACACGCAAGAGAAGAGACAGCAAAAGTAGAGACAGACAGAAACCCCGAAATCTATGCCTGGGATTTTCATTAATAGGAAGCAAGAAATTTTCTTACTGATAATACACTTCTAGTTGGGTTTCCACCTGCTGGAACTCAAAGATCCCTGGCTGGTGAACACGATGTTATGTGTGCCTGTACCATCAGCACGTGGAACATCGCCTGGAACAGAATGCACACTCAAAAGCCACACGTGAAGGAGATAAAGGGAAATCAGAGGGGGACCTTGTCCATCAGGGCTTCATAGGTGGGTGAGATAGGTGCAGAGGGCTAGGGAATCATGGGGAAGCAAAGTGCTTCCTCCGCCAGCCAGGGGGGGACAAAGAAGGCCCCCCAGAGGTGGTCTTGTTTGATTTAAACCTTGAAGAAGGAGTTGGGGTCTTAACTATAGCAGGTGGGGGACAAATCCTAGACACAGCAAAGAACGTGTGCAAAGGCAAAGGTGGCCAGTCTGAACTTGAGTCTTCTTATCTGTGAAACAGAGGTAGTTCACCTAATTGGCCCACCACAGTCATGGAGGCGGGCACTGTGTGGGCAGTTTGGACAAAGTGTCCCTCCTGAAGGAGCTCCTAGCCCGGTGGGCGGGACACAGTAGTAAACAAGCAACGGCCATGCAGGAAATGGGCATGAGAGCAGGGAGCCCTGGGGGCAGAGGAGCACAAAGGGGGGTCACTGGACACCCCTCTCCAGAAGCACAGGTGGGCTCCCTGGAGGAGGTGGCTTTGAACCCTTAGTAGGTATTGATCACCTAGAAACAGTCTAAACAGTAAAAGCTGCTTTCCCTGTCATCCCAACACCTGGAAAGAAAACTAGAACCCCCTTCTTAACATTTGTTTAATAGCCACACTGGGAACACAATGAACTAGGGCGGACTGGTCTTCGGGAGAAGAGATGAGCAGTGAAGAGAATTCTCATGATTCTGTGATTTTAAAGGGCTGGGTGAATTGTCTCTGAGGTCCAGCTAACAGGTGGGAGCTGGGCTTTGAACCTTGGCAAGCTGATGCCCGAGACACGATGTCACACTGCATGAAATGGGATTAATCTGATACCAGCTGACTAGAGATCTGGGGACATCCTCGCTGCAATAACTTCGGATTGACTCCTGACGGAGATCCCAGCAGCTTTATACCTTTTGACTGTTCCTTGCCAGAGACATAGCAGCAAAGGATGTTTTTTCTTTTCTTTCTTGCTTCATACGGAGTACGTCAGATACACAGCCAAGTATGAAGACAGAGTAGCAGACACCTGGGAACGCACTGCCCAGGCTTCGCAAAGCCTGACGTTTCGCCAAATGTCCTCAGGGTTTTAAAAAGAAATAAAACTCTGTAAATCCGGGCCTCCCGAGGCCTCTAGGTGCCGCCCCAAAGGCAGTCACCCCCTTTTGAATGCGTCCCTGGCGCTGGCAGCCCAGGCCTGCCTCCCTCACGCAGGTTGGTGCCTGTTCCTGAGTGCACCTTAGTCACCTCCGTGCTGTTCTCGGCCCTGGGGGGAAGAATTGTTTGGGTGTGGCAAAGATAAAAAAAACACAACTCACTTGAATGATCCAAAATGTCCCCTTGGAGATGTTCAGAAGCCATCCACTGGGACTGAAGGGACACGTTGTGGGAGTTTTTTCCTGGCATCTCTGGCGCGATGTGGCCCGAGGAGGAGGCTTTGACAGACTCTGCACTTGGCTTCTCTGACTCCCAGTCCCCAGTCAGGGGACAGTCAAAATCAGCGCCTGGAAAAGCAGAGGGGTCCGTGTGCATGTGTGTGCGCGTGCACGCGGTGTGTTCAGTGACTCTCAAGGCACTGGAGCTAGTGATCGTGACAAGAGTAATGCCAGTGGAGTGGGACGGGACATGGGCCTCTAGGTGAGATGGCACTTCCATCTGTCACCATCACTGAACGCTGAAGAGGAAGGGTCTTCAGCACAGAGACCTGCAAAGGCCAGGCCATGAGGTCTGGCGAAGGAAGCCAGTGCCGGCGCAGTTAGAACAAAGAGACGAAGTGACGGAGGGGAGGCCGGTGGAACATGAAGCTGGAGAACCAGATTGAGGCGGGTCACAAAGGCGTGGGCTTCCCGCCGAGGAGTTTGGAATTTATGCCTCGGGCAGTGAAGTGATGGAGCGGCTGAGGGAGGGTGGCACTCTATGCAAGCATCTGTGCATTTTCAGGTAATAGTGTGGTTTTGATACACGATAAACACCCAGGTGGTTCTGAAAGAAATCATGAAAAATAAGAAAGGCTTTCTCTGCTTTGGTTGCTGTCATGGGGTGTCTGGAGGGTAAAGTGACTAAGGAAATAACAGTGGAGAGGAAAGACTGAGGCCACCCGCAAGGGACATCCCCAGAGAAGACCCCAAGCCTGAGGAAACCGGAAACTGGAGCAAGGGGAGGGGAGAAGGCAAAGCTTTATGGGCAAGGGGCAGGCACATCTGCTCATTCGATCAGTGCCGTTGCTGTATAAGGACACACGCTGCACTGGAGGGGCTGGGAGCCGGACGTGCAAGAGACACGAGACGCTGCTGTGCCTGCTCATGGCGAGGAGAGGGACAGACATACAGGCCAGCAGTTAGGATGCAATGAGGTCATTGCAACAACGAAGGCTAGCAGAAGGTATGCAGTGGGAACCTAGGAAAGAGTGTCTGAGCCTGTCTGGGGCATCCAGGGAGGCTTCACAGAGGAGGCAGTACCTATGTGGAAACTTGAGGGATGAGTAGGAGTTCTTCCAGAGAGGCAGCAGGAAGAGGGCAGGCCAGGCAGAGGCGGGGTGGAGAGGGGGAAGGGGAGTGGAGGGGGGCAGAGATGGGGAAGAGAGACACCAGCCTGTCGGGGAACGTGGTGGGTTCTCAGGAGAGCGAGTTCTCCTGCGTGGCTGGAGAGCATGTGAGTGTAGTCCATCCTGGGAAATGATTCTGGCTGCACTGCTAGCAGGGGTCAAGTCATAGAAGGCCTCACGGGTCACACTTGGGAGCTGAAGTTTATCCTGTGGCCACCGGGAGCCTGAGTGTAACAGGGGGAGCTCTGTCTGCTTGTTGAAATGCTCACTCAGCAGAAAGACACCTGAGGGATCCCAGCCCCTTCACAGGAGCTGGAGGTGACTACGGGACTGCAGAAGGTACTCAGGGTCCTCACATAACAGTGCTTCTTAACAGGGTCGTTTCTCCCCCAGGGGTCACTGGGCAATGTCTGGAGACATTTTTGGTTGTTAGAAGTTGGGGGTGGGAGAGGGGTGGTTCTGGCCTCTGGTGAACACAGCTCAGGGATGCTGCCCAACAGCCTGTAACGCACAGGACAGGCCTCACAACAAAGCATTTCTCAGCCCAAAAGGTCAATAATGCTGGGTTGTAAAACCCTGTTATAGACAGCGACCTAACCGTACAGGGGTCTTCAACGCATAGCTCTTTCCATAGTTCTGGTAAGTGCGTAAGGAGAGGACGCTGGCTCTTCTGCATCTGCTTCGCGATTGCCCCTCTTGTCAAAGCACCGGCTCTGCCTTGGTAGGGCAGGTTGTAATTTATGGTTTTATAGTTACTATGTAAACACATACATATAATATGCAATATGTGTGATTTGTATTTAACATCTGCTGTCCTTGCTAGACTAAAAGCTCCCTGAAGGAAAGGTCACCTCTTCTGTCCCAGACACCAGCAAATAACACCTTTCTTATAGTTAGCACTTAATAGATATGTTAATAAGTGGAGACTTCTGGTTGGGGGAGGGGGAGGCATTCAGTTTCTATACTCAGACTCTAACTTGGGCCTGCTACAGCAGGGCTACAGTAACCATAGAGATAGGGGGTCAATTCTCACCTTCACAGAGGCTAAAGCTGACCTGAGCTTAAGGCGTCAGGCAAGTAGAGTGGCCTCCTGGCCTAGGCGCGTGGGCTGACTCCACTGAGGCACAGTCCTACTTAGCCTGGAGACTGGGCCAATGAACTGGTGCTTTTGGGCACAGGAATTCCTGCCAACCCAGCAGGCTCCCTCCCAACTGTTCTTCCCACTGCTTGGGGCCACTTGACAGCAGAAGCAGCTCTGCTGGTTGCCATAGAGAAAAAAGGCCAGCAGAAAGTGAAACGTGCAGACCACCCAGTAATGACACAACACTGCAGAGGAGGTGCTGGACCTTGGTCACCACAGCACTATTCACGATAGCCAAGAAACAGAAACAACCCAAGGGTTCATCAATAGACAAATCAACAAGATTCTGCTCTTTGGGACACTATGGATGAACCTGGAGGACAGTATGCTAAGCGAAATGAGCCAACCATAGAGGGACAGAAACTGCATGATCCCACTTGCATGAGGAATCTGAAATCGTTGCACTCATAGAGGCAGAGAGTTAAGTGGTGGTTGCCAGGGGCTGGGGGCGGGGGAATGTAGAGAGTTTGAGTTAAGCAAATGACTAAGTTCCAGAGATCTGCTGAACAGCATGGTGCCTATAGTTAACAACACGGTATTTTATGCACTTCAAAACTTGTTAACAGGGCAGATCTTATGTTAAATGTTCTTACTCCAAAAAACCAAAGACCCCTAGCTCAGTAGCTCCGTTGGTTAGAGCATTGTCCTGATAAGCCAAGGTTGGGGGTTCAAGCCCCAGGCAGGGCACATACAAGAATCAACGCATGAATGCATAAACAAGTGGAACAACAGATTGACGTTTCTCTCTCTCTAAAATCAATCAATAAATAATAAAACAGACCAAAGAAACCCAAACAAACAACAAAGGGACTCAAGGAAACTCTGGAGATGTTGGATGTCTGTTACCTTGATTGTGGGGATGGTGTCACGGGTGTTTGCATATGTCTGAACTCATTGAATTACACATATTAAACATGTACAGTTCTTCATATATCCAAAAACGAAGAGGCTGTATAGGGACATGAGAAAGAACTGGGAACTTTCATGCCTGATTATATATTCATGAGTGGCACTAAATTAAGATCTGGAGAGACGAAGATGAGGCTGTGACAATAAGAGCTGCCCTGTGCTGTTGCCCAAGGCTGCCCTGCTGAGCCTAGGGCCTTGCCACTGAGAGCTGGATGGCGTAGGAAACTGTCTCCTATGTGGAATACTGGGATCCTACACGGAATTTTCTAAAAGGAGAGATGGCATCAAAGAGGGAAGCCATGAAAGATCTTAACACTAAAAAATGACCACGGATTTTCCTTCTCTGAAAAGACATGTTTTGCCCCAAATTTACACTTTTCCTAACTGACATTTAATTTTTTTCTCCACCCTTAATAATAAATGGGAGGATCGTAATGCACGAAACATTTCGGCAATTAGCTCTTGTATTAGATTTGAAGGTATTGATTTCATCCGGCGTCCCCGGGCTGGTGGAGCATGGTTTACTTCTGTTTTAGAAGGATGAATCTGTTTCTTCCGAGCACATTTCCATATCCTTGCATGTAAAGTGGGCATTGCTTTTAGCTAGAGAAGGAAACACAAAGCTACGTACAGAAGCTTCCATCAAAGATATTTATGGGAGCGGCATTAATTAGATCTAGAGAAAGCCGCAGACCTGGAGCTGGGGTCCATGCCTGAGGCCATCCTGCCTTTCTGCGTGAGGACTGGCAGAAATGGGGGGGG